GGCCCAAGGTGAGCCAGTTGAGCGCAACGACAGCATGCTGCGACAACGTGCGGGCGGCGCGCCTCACACGCCAGCGCTCACGCGCGCGACCCGTCAGGTGCCCGGGTGGCGGCGGTAAAGGCGGCGAGGGAGGGCACGGCCATGGATCGCGGGGAGCCGACTCCAACAGGTACGAGTCGTCCCAATCCGACGCGCAGAGGGATGAGCGGGTAAAAGCGGCAAGGGAACATCGAGTCCCCATCCCGACCTGGGCAAGAGCAGCAGCCCAGTGGGTGACGTCGATGCAGGCGCCTGGGAACAGGCGCAGCAGTGCGGACAGATCTGCCACGAAGGGCGCTGACCTGCCAGTGCAAGTGCTGGCACGCGAAGTGCCAGGAGCGGCGGCACTCGAATCAGGAGCCCCAGAAGCGGGGGCCTCGGCACCTGAACCAGCACCCGGCGCGCCTGAGGCCCTGACGGCTGGGGCTCCGGCAGCACGGTGAAACTGGCCAAAATGGCCACTCGGCCCTGAGGGCGAACCGGGGGTGGAGCGAGAGTCGCGACAGCGGCACGTACACCTCCCTGCGGGGCCGCAACAGCATCGCTGGAGGAGCGCGTGCCTACTCTCACGGCCTCGCTCAGCCCAGGCACGCCTGGCAGCAACAGCGTCGGCGCTTGCAGCGACACGCCGCTGCATGAACCCTCGGCCGGTGCACGCAGCTCGCGTGCGTCCACCCCTGCGTTGGGATGCGCCGCCGTGGGGGGCGGCACCGCCTGCGGCCTGGGAGCCGGCGGAGGCGGCGCGGCAAGGGTCTGCCGCCACCCGCACCGACGGGCGATCACTCGCATCAAAATGAACGATGCGCCGAGGACGCCCGTCCGCACATTTGGGCCCTGAGCCTGAAGAGTCAGGGCCAGCGCCGTCTGGCGCGTCTCGGCAAAAATGGCCCGTTGGCTCGGAAGGGGGATCTGTTGTGCTCGGCGGGCGGCCTGCAGACTGGGGGCCGCTGGAGGCGGCGCGGCAGCCACGCGAGCCATGCCCAGACGTGCGACCTCGGCGACCTCCTCGACGAAGGCGTTGCTTCCGCGATCGCCTTGTGCGGGAACCAGATGCGAGGGACGAAGGGCTGGCCTGGCGCGTAGCCTGACGACCGGCTGGATTGCAGGCGACCTCCGCGGCTACGGCGGGCAGACCCCCAGCCGCCGCCTGAATTGGCGCAGATGGTGTCGGTTCCTTCTCGACGTTCGCGCGGCGAGTAGGGCGGCTCGAAAGGGAGCATGCGCGGGACGGCCCAGCGGAGGTCGCTGCAGCGAGGGGGCCGCTCGCAGAGGGCCGAGCGCCTGCAACATAAGCCATCCGACTCGCACCTGGCAGCCCCGAGGCTGAGCTTGGCAAGAACGCGGAGGGGGCCCCTCCGAGCGACCGCGGCAGGTCGCGAAGGCTCGCACGAGCCGCACCGATATCAGGAGGCCCTGCGCGCGCAGCAGAGGCTAGCCGGGTCGAGGACGCCACGCCGCTCGGGGCGGACCCAGCGCTTGCCGCAGAGGCTCGCTGGGCACCGCCCCCCAACGCCGGGACCAGACCAGGCAGGGACGCGGACGGTTCCCCGCAGGCCCCGAGCGACCGCGGCAGGTCGCGGTGGCTCGAGGGAGCCACGCCGTTCGCAGGAGGCCCTGCGCTGGCAGAGGTTGGCCAGGCCGCGTCCGCAACTCCCTGATCGCTGGCGTACGCTAACCCCGAGGTTGCGCTCGCCACCAAGGAGGCCAAGCGTGGCAGGGCAACGGGGGGGTCCACTCGTACCCCGAGCGACCGCCACAGGTCGCGAGCGTTCGAGCGGGCCTCATCGCAAGAAAGGGGCCCTGGGCTCGCAGCACCGGCGTCCCAGGTAGCGTCCGCCACACTGCTCGCAAGAAGACCCGCGTTGAACACTGAAGGTCTGGGTTCCCTTGGAGGCAGGGGTGGGGCCCCTAGGCAAGGGATCGCCCATTGCCAACTTCCGCTGTCAGAAAACGGAAACCCAACCGCGCAACGGTTGTGCGGCGGCGGCACCCGAGTGCCCGCCTCCAGGCTAGCGAAGCCGGGAAGTGGCACCACCTGCCAGACCGCGGGGCCCGACAGCGCCTCGAACCCAGGTGGCGGGTGGAAGGACAACACTGTCGAAGCGCCCCCTGGCGTAGGCGCTGGCGCGGGTGCCGGCGCAGGCGCAGGCGTCGGTGCTGCCGCCGTCAGTGCTGGCGTTAGTGCTGGCGTCGGTGCTGACCGCGGTGCTGGTGTAAGCGTTGGCGCTGGAGCCGGCATAAGCGCAGGCGTCGGTGCTGTTCCCGTCAGTGCTGGCGTTAAGGCTGGCGTCGGTGCTGGCCTCAGCGTGGGCGTAGGCGCTGGAGCTGGTGCCGGCGTAAACGCAGGCGTCGGAGCTGCCGCCGCCAACGCTGGCGCTAGTGCAGGCGTCGGTGCTGGCCTCGCTGCGGGCGGAGGCGCGGGCGTTGGTGCCGGCGCAAGCGCAGGCGTCAATGCTGTCGCCACCAGTGCTGGCGTTAGCGCTGGCGTCGGTGCTGGCCTCGGTGCGGGCGAAGGCGAGGGCGCTGGCGCCGGCGAGAGCGCATGCGCGGGGGCCGCCGCCGTCAATGCTGGCGTTCGTGCTGGCGTCGGTGCTGGCCTCGGCAGCTCCAACCCGGGAGGGGGCTGGAGGCCGACGCGCGACGGCAAGGCGGCCCAGGGACTGCTCCGCGGCGGAGTGCCCGGAGCGTGAGCCGCTGTGGCGGCTGAGGGAGCGGTGCGAACCCCTCCCTGCGGGGCCGTAACAGCATCGCTGGAGGGGCGCATACCAACTCCCTCAGATCCGCCGAAAGCCGGAGCGCCCACCGCCAGAGCAAGCGGAAGAGGCACCGCGCGAAGCAACTCGCCGCTGGGCACCGAGGGATGCCCGTGAGCACCAGCCTCCACGTCAGCGAGTGTGACGAGCGGCCCCACGGGCGCGGGAGCGCCCTCCAGCCTCCCGAGGCCAGGCGGCGGACCCCCCCGCAAGCGCGTGGGAAGCGATCGTTGCTCGTGCTGCTCGCCGCGCGCAGCGTCGTCGTGCTGCGCCGTCGTCCTGCCCTCGTCAGCGGCCACTGGCGTAGCGGCCTGGGAGACTGGAGCGGTGAGGCCAGGAGGAGGGCCAACACGCCTGGCGTTGTGGCGCGGCTCGGGGTCCAACCCCGGAGATGGCCGAAGCGGCCAGACGAGAGGAACGCCACATCTGGGGGGGACAGCGGCGTCCGACGCGGCACCTCGGATCGGCGCCCGCGCATCCGGGACGGAGACGCCGCGCAGGGGCACGTCAGGAGACGCAAGTTCGGCGGCCGCAGCAGAGGCGGCGAAGCACGTGAACGGCGCACAGCGCCTGACGTCAGCCCTGAACCAAGAGGCGGTATTGAGGGAAGGAGCATGAGGGGGGAGGAGGCTGAGGTTAGAAAGGACCTCCTTCTCCCACCCCTCCGCCTGGAAAGCTCTCGGCGCAGGGTGTAACGAGGCGGCGCGCGAGCTGACTTGGCCGGCGGCTGAAGAGCTCCCGAGCAGCGGTGAACCGACGCCCTTTGCGGGGCATCTCTGGGCGGTGGGCGGAGCGGCAGATTGCGCGGCGGCGTGGGTCCCAGTACACGGCGCGTGAGCGTCGTCGCCGTCGTCGTCCCGCCCCTCCCCCACCGAGGAAGGAGGAAGAGGAGGGGGCAAAGAGGGGCGAGAAGTAGTTTGTGAGTGCGCACCCGCGAACGCCGCAGGCCGTTGAGCCATGGGCCACAGGCGCCTGACAGACAGGGGGCCTGGAGGACAGGGCCGTCCTACCTGCAGGCTAGAGGCCGCAGGACGGGTGCACGCTGCCTGTAGGGCGGCGGGCAGCACCCGAGCGGAAAGGGGAAACCCTAACCGCCACCGATCGCCTGCCCGAGGCGAACGGGCGCAACCCCTCGTGAGCACAAGTTGACGGGGAAGGAGATCCCGTGCAACCGAGCTCGGGGGGGCAGCGCTGGATCTCCGCTTCGCGGAAGACCACGCGCTGTACACGTAGAAGGTGGCCGCCGCGTAGACGACGAAGCGGTCCTCCGGGTCGGCCGCCTGCGCAGGCCCCTGGCGCCCCGGCCGCGCGCGCGCGCGGAAGGGGGCGAAGGGGGCCGGAGTGGGGCAAGCTCTAGGCCGAGAAGCTGCAGACGACTGCGTAGCGGGCGCGAAGGGGATAGAGAGGTGCATCATCATCATCGTCATCATCATCATCATCACCACCACCATCATCATCATCATCATCATCATCATCATCATCATCATCATCATCATCATCGTCAACATCATCAACACTATCACCATCACCATCACCATCACCATCACCCTCATCCTCATCCTTATCCTCATCCTCATCCTCCTCATCATTATCAGCACTGCCATCAGCTTCGGCACACCCCTCAAACGTTTCGTGGCCCCATATGGAGCTCCACCAGAAGCCCCAGTGGCAGGATTCGCGTGGCGGCCCCACACCATTCCACAACACCCCTCGACACGTTTTATAGGCCCAGAGGAGCTCCACCGAAGGCCCCAGTGGCAGGGTTCGCATGGCTGCCCCGCCCCGTTTCGGCACACCCCTCGGTTTCCCGGGTCGCCCCAGTTCTTTCCGCCCCATGTAGTTTTCCTGGGTTGCCTCGGTTTCGGCTTCTCCTCGGTTTGGGTTTTTCATCGGTTTGTTTTTTTTTTCTCGATGTGTTTTTGTTCCTCGGTTTGGGTTGTTCCTCGATTTGGGTTTTTCCTCGATTTGGGTTTTTCCTTGGTTTGGGTGTCTCCTCTGCTTAGTTTCCTTTCTTTCCCTCAGTTGTTTTTTCCCTCGGTTTAGGTTTTTCATCGGTTTGGATGTTTCCTTGGTTTGGGTTTTTCGTCGGTTGGCTTGTCTTCGGCTTCCTCGCTTCATAATCTTAGAAACACATATAAGAAAGTTGTCGCGACCATGCTTGACTTTCAAAGCACAGCGGGGAAGGCGGGTCATCGCCGAAGGTGTTTCAGATATGATGTCGAACTGGATGTCTGGCACCTTCTCGGCGTCGAGGCTGTTGCACAAGAAGGTGTACTGCGACATCCTGAGGTTCTGCACCGTCTCCCTGTGCCTCGGCTTCTCGAGGCCACCGATCTTGCTCTGCTGCAGCCTCTGGATGACGGTTCCCACCCCGCCCTGCACGAACACGTTCACGTCGGACGCTGGGAGCACGTAGCTGCGTGGCCAGTCCTCTGCATGGTTCGGGGCCGCTATGCCAGGCAGCGGCGCCACAGAGCCGGCCGTCTCCGACCGCAGGCGCTCCGCTCCAACCCCGCGGTCTGGCACCATGAACGCCCTGATGGTCGGGTGCTGCAGAAGTGCCCCCGCCCCAGCGTGCCCCCAGGACTTCCAAGGAGGCCCTCTCGCGGCCTCCAGAGCACCCCTCACGAGGCCGAGAGGGCCCCAGGGGCTCCAGAGTCGAGCGACAAGCTGGGGGCGCCTTGGGCCAAGGGGCACCCGTGGCAACCCCCGAGATGGCGAGCTGCGTGGCCTTCCTGAGCTGCCTCTGGCGCTCGGGTGCCGCCGCGAGCCCGTGGATGACGCCGCGGTCGGCCAGGTCGCTGAACGAGCACTGCGCCCGCGGGAGCACCCGCACGGGGGGAGCCACCGGGAAGACCCCCTCCGCCAGGAGGCGCCAGCCGCACACCCACACTGGTCCTGGCCAGGCCCATCCTGGGCTCAGAACCGGTGTCGATGCCCTCCCAGCCAGGCCAGGAAGGAGTGTGCACCGATCTCGTGCCCAGGATGGCCCTGGCCAGGGTCGGTGTAGTTGTGTGGTTGGCAGCCTTCGACCTCTGGGAAGACCCCCTCCTGCATCACGGGGACAGCCTTCCACTGCGGGAACACGGGGACAGCGTTCCACTGCTGCACTAGCGGGGGCACGCCGATCTGCACCGGCGCGGGCGCGTCGATCGGCCCGTAGTAGGGCTCCGGCGACGCAGGGGTGTCGATCGGCCCGTAGTAGGGCTCTGGTGACGTCGCGCGGCTTGGCGGGCTTGGCGTCCCCGTCGACGAGCGAGACGACATGGGCCTCGCTGTTTGCACGGGCGCGCCGAAACTACTGACTGCAGCGCTGCTCAAGGGGAAGCTGCGCTTGTCTTGGAGAGGCTGCGGATGGTGGTCGCGCTTTCCGCGATGTTGACTGCAATACTCCTGCTACCATGGGGAGCGCCGTATGAGAAGCGACGGGGCTTTTCTGGCCACGGCAAGCCTCAGCCACGAATAGGTTCGTCGACCTAGATCTAGGAGACTGCACGAAAACAGAGCCCCTCCTGTGCCCAAAGTGGTCCTTCTTTCAGCGTCTTGACTGCATGGTATGGCAAGTGCGTCCTTTGGGACATGGCTCCGAGACCACGTCTAGGACTTGCAAGATCCTGCGGCTGCTCGTCGGGAGCGTGTGAGTTCCCGACAGGCACCTTCTTTCATCACCTCCAGGTAAGCAACGCTTTTTCTCAACCATCCTGTGGTAATGGGTCCTCATTTTGAAGAGGCAGCGCCCCGCGTCCCGCCTGACCATCCTCATCCCCCCTTCCTCGGTAAGGGGACAAAACAGTGGAACCCCTTCGTCTTCGGCCCCGCATTCGCCCCCCCCCCCCCCCTCCCCCACATTTCAAAGTTGGGTTCGGCCTCTCGGAGGCCCTGGGGTTCCACTTTTTTTGTCCTCTCACGCCTGTGCTGCCAAATGCTTGAAGCCAACTTTGAAATTGGGGAGAGGGGGGGGGCGTGGTGTCAAAGGGTTCCACTTTTTGTCTATCTACGGTCCTCCGCATCATCATCATCAGCATCATCAGCATCAGCACCAGCATCATTATCATCATCATCATCATCATCATCATCATCATCATCATCATCATCATCATCATCATCCTTATCATCGTCGTCATCGTCGTCATCATCATCGTCATCACCAACAGAAGCAACATCGCCATCAACATCATCACGACCACCATCTGCAACATACGTATAATCAAAAACATCATCAGTAACATCAACATGCACATCATCATCATCATCATCATCATCATCATCATCATCATCATCATCATCGTCATCATCATCATCAGAACGAACATCATAATCATCACGATCCTCGCCACCACGTTCACAATTACACTCACCTTCATTAATATCACCAGCAGCATCAACACCACCATGCTGACCACCATCAGCATCACCATCATCAGCATCACCATCATCAGCATCATCATCATTACCATCATCATCATAATCATCAGCATCATTATAAACAGCATCAACCCCATTATCATCCTTCTCCTCCTCATCATCACCACCAGCACCATCACAATCACCATCACAATCACCATCACAATCACCATCATCATCATCATCATCATCATCATCATCATCATCATCATCATCATCATCATCATCATAAACATCATCCTCATGATGCCATCACCCAAGCAACTGCAACATAGGACCCAGCCATCTGGAACGAAAGCATTCCCGGGGTGCGCCGAGGAACCCAGGGGGTCCGGCTCCCGCGGAAGAGAAGCAGAAATCCTTGGCGAAGGTTTCGGGCACGGAGGCGACCCCTGCCTAGAATTCCAGAAGAGGAATGAACTCTCACCCGCGGGCCCGCGAGGTGCTGGCGCGCGGGGTCCTACCCCACCTCAGCGCAACCAGACGAGGAAAAGCGCGAGAGCCCACATTGTAAATGTAATGCAGCATCACTCTAATAGTAGTTATGCTAAGGAATTGTAGGAGGGTGGAGGAAGGAGGTAAAAGGGAGGGGGGAGGGGGAGGAGGACGATGAGAAGGACGCTCTCCGGATGCCACACACGTCGTCATCATAATCATCACTGCCACCGTCGTCATTTTCAACATCGGCATCGTCATCATCACAACGACCATCACGCATCACCCAATCATCATCGTCATCGCGACAGTCGTCGTCGTCGTCGTACTCTCCGAAGTCGTCATCGTCGTCATCATCATCGTCATCAGCATCATCATCGTCAGTATCGTCACCATCATCATCATCATCATCATCATCATCATCGTCGTCGTCGTCGTCGTCATCATCATCATGACCATGATCATGATCATCACCATCATCATCGTCATCGTCATCGTCGCCATCATCATCATCACCATCATGATCAGCATCAATGTCACCGCCATCATATTCATCGTCGGCATCGTCATCATCACAACGACCTGCACGAATCATCCGATCAGCATCGTCGTCGCTATCGTCATCGTCGTCGGTTTCGTCGCCGACGTCAGCGTCATCGTCACCATCTTCGTCATCGTCATCATCAGCGTCACCATCATCATAATCACCCTCCTCCTCCTCCTCATCATCAGCATCCGTCGACGCGGAGAGCGGGAGGAGGGAAGGAGAGGACTGGGGTGGGCAGGATGGGGAGAAGACGGGAAACACGAGGAGGGCAAGGCAAGGCAAGGAGAAACATGATGGACCCACGAACCCGGAAATGGATACAGAACCGCATGCATGGAAACGTTTTCACGACACAGTATTGGGCGACGGGCACTTCCACGAGACACCCCGCGAAACATTCCACGAGACAGGGGCGATCGTTTTCAACGTTTTCCTGGAAACATTCCACGAAACACCCCGCGAAACAGTCCACGAGACACCCCACGAAACATTCCACGACGACAGGCAACCACTCAACCAAGGCGGTGTGGTCGTGCTGGGGAGTGGTCGTGCTGGGGTGTGGTCGTGCTGGGGGGTGGTCGTGCTGGGGGGTGGTCGTGCTGGGGGGGTAGTCGTGCTGGGGCGTGGTCGTGCTGGGGCGTGGTCGTGCTGGGACGTGGTCGTGCTGGGGCGTGGTCGTGCTGGGGTGTGGTCGTCCTGTGGTGAGGTCGTGCTGGGGTGTGGTCGTGCTGAGTGATGGTCTTGCTGGGCTGGGGTCGTGCTGGGTGGGGTAGTGCCGGGGTGTGGTCGTGCTGGGGTTTGGTCGTGCTGGGGCGTGGTCGTGGAAACGCATATAAAACCGGATGTATGGAAACGTTTTCACGACACCGTATTGGGCGACGGGCACTTGCAACGCTGAAAGTGTCGATGGCGATGTGCCGTGCCAGGGGCTGTGCTGTGCCGTGCTGACTTGGAATTTGCCATGCTGCGCTGAACTGTGCTGTGCTCAATTGCGTTGTGGATCAACTCGCCCGTGGCCTCCGAATCTTGGCCGAACTGATTTGGATCTTAAGCCCGAGCTGTCTGAACGCATAACTCGCCCTCGAGCTGGTCGCAATCGAAACGTGCGGGGCTCTCAACCAGCTCGAATTCAATATCCGATTCAGTTCCAAAACGGGGCGGAGCAAGAGGGGGCGAACCCGAACCGCTACTGAATGAAAATCGGTTAGCTGCTTGGTGGCTGGCCTTGGCGGCTGCCTCATTGGCCGCCTGCTTTGCAGCCTTGCTGGCCTCCTGGTCGGTTGCCTCGTGAACAAAAGGTAGCTCGTCGAATGGCGTCAACGTTTTTTTAAACGGACTGATTCGCCACATGTGAACGGATTGTACTACGAATTGCAAAGGGATTTTTTTCCAACATCGCACGTGCCTCCTCCTCCTCCTCCTCCACCGCCTCCTCCTCTGCCCCCTCCTCCTCCTCCTCCTCCTCCTCCTCCTCCTCCTCCTCCTCCTCCTCCTCCTCCTCCTCCCAGTTTCCCGCGCTGCGTCAAAAGGAGAGAGTGTTTAGCCAACTCATGACCGAGTGACGTGGCCGCGCGGTGCGATATGTGCATCGCGCCCCATAAGGCACATCTATAAGCACATACGTCGTGCCCCTGGAGAGGGCAAGTCTCTGGGGCGCCCAGGTCCCACGTTCAACCTCGAACGCCCGCGCGGGTGTCGCCGCCGCGTCGAATCGACCCGAATCTGCCGTACCCCGGAATCCACTCAAAACGAGTCCCCCGACCCGTCCCGGAGTCCAAAAGCACCAGTTTCCCGCGCTGCGTCAAAAGGAAAAAATATATAGCCAATTCATGACCGAGTGACGTGGGCGCACGGTGCGATATGTGCATCGCGCCCCATAAGGCAAATCTGTAGGCACATACGTAAAAACACACGGAGTCGCGCCCCTGGAGAAATCAAATCTATACGCACATACGCAAAAGCACATGGATTCGTGCACCTGGACAGGGCAAATCTACAGGCGCATACGTAAAAACACACGGGTTCGTGCACCTGGAGAAGGCAAATCTCTGGGGTGCCCAGATCCCTCAAGTTCTACAAAACAAGCGATTCGCTCGAGACATCCTCGGTAACTCTGCGGAGCAAGCGTTTCGCTCGAGACATC